GTTCTCAATGGACGCTCGCTAGTCATACTAGGTTGATGATGAAACATCGCTCTAGATATTTAGCCAGCGTGGAGTACTTCCACGCTACTAGATCCATGCTAGACAAACCTTCCACGCGTTCCGTTTTAGGATCGTGGAGATACGTAGGATTGCTACCGCAACCTACTCTATCACACTTTATAGTCTCCCGCGGGAGGCAGATCTACGATCCCTTGATGATGATCTCTCTCGTTGCATTAGTTTTCATAGCTTTCTAATCTCTCTCATAACTTTCATTCTCTCAAACTCAAAACACTCGAAAGATCTTTACACTAGCTTTTAGCGTAGTGCATTTTTTTAACAAACACAATAGCTTTCAGCTATCCTCAACCTATTCCTTCACCATGAAGATGGCTCAAGGAAAGCATGCTCCAGCAACTTCGAGAAACAGTTGCTGACAAACCCATTCTTCCTCTCGTCGACAATGACGAAGAAACGAGATCGACGATACTGTGCAACCACCTTGCAAACTTCGCAACCATGTTGCCCAGCGCCAATCAGAAGACTCTGACAATAGGACAACTCCTCTATCAACTTCAATCACTTGGATGGAGAAATCTCTATCTGGGATTAGGCCAGGATGATGACTCAACGGAACCATGTTCGATTTTCATACCAAATGATGAAGATTCTCACTAACTAGTAAACAAGAATTGTTTGCAACTGATGAACACTACGGCAAATTAGATGATTGCTAGAAGCTGCTCACTAGACTCTGATGATCTATTTAGCATCGTTAACCTCGTCCGTGGCCAACCACCTCGTAAACGTCGCAAGACAAGACACCTCAAACCCTCGTCTATGTTAGATTTAACAAGCGAGAAAAAGGGAAACCAAAACCGTTACACTCCGTTGCTTACTGATACAGGAGATCCGGAACCTTGATTGCTCAACCTCATGCTAAGAAATTTCGTATGAAGTGATCTTGGGGGCTTCCAAACAATGTGGACTACCCCTGCAGGAGAATTAAACACCAGCGCGAAGTGCAAGGTGGATTCATGATTTCCTTGATTCCACGAAGATAGAATATCGAGTGGGATTTACACGTCATCAATAGCTTGGGGGCGTAATACATGATCATAGGTCGAGACATTCTCTCTGATCTAGGATCAAGTTCGATTCACTACCATGTCAGTCTAATGGGACGGCGCATCTATTCCTATGAAAGACAGCGACACCAATGAAGAAGAGAACTCTTTCATTCCTGATCCTACTTCTGTTGATGACAGTGCAGATCGTCTCAAGAAGATTCTTGATGCGAAATGCGAACAAGCTGACTTAAGGCCAGTTTGCCAAAGTCAAGTCGGTTAAACAAGGATGAGAAGGAACAGCTTCATTCCTACTGACGAAGTACTCTGACCTATTCGATGGTACATTTGGAAAGTGGCAGATGGACGTCTACGAAGTAGAACTTATCTCTCTCCTGTCTCAAATGACTATTCACGAGAGACTCAGTCATGAGTCGAACTCAAACCCTATCTAGGATCGAGTCGCGAATAAGGCTAAGAGCCATGTATTGCACATGCAGTGCCTTGAATGATGATGTCCCTAGTGATGTTGCCGGCAATAATGAAGATAAGCCACAAAGCAGAGCGAAGAAACGCCAAAAAAAGGATAGTACTGAGACAACTCTTCCAATTGGTCCGCGGCCAGCTGGCTGCAAAGAAGATAACTATTGCAAAACTTGCATCCAGTGGGGCCACAAACGGAAGAGCAGTCGTCTTTGTCTCATGAACAAGAGTGTTACTAACGAGTTTCCTTCATCTGAAGATATAGCAGCAATGACTGAAGAGGAGCAGCAGCGTACTCAACTTAGCGTACTGGATTGCATCGCTCTGACTACCGAAGACAGTGATGACAGTTCCAGGAATGAATCCACCCCGGCTAGGATAGAGGCGATTATACAAGATGACAGCATGGACAATGACGAAACAGCATAATAGAGACAAACAATGATCTAACACTTAGAATACTAGTAACCTATCCTTCAATTGCCTTCCTCATTTGCAATCTCCTTTGCATACTGTTCGAAGTCCTCGCGAGTAGGTTCATCATAGTTAATCTCGGAATCCTGTGTGTCGAAGTCCTTTTGGTTAAGAGAAAGGGCATCACGCGTAACTTGAAGCATTTCCTCATGAGTAGCATACTCGGGGGAGCTGTAACTGTCTTCACTCGAATCGTCATCTTGTTCCTTCGACTTGTCTTCTTCCACAGGGAGCGGGGCCTTGATAGACTGGTGAGTGTACTTAGGAACAAAGCCCTTGTAGCCTTTCTTCTCGTCTTCATTGGGATAATGATGACGCACGTAAGCCACAACACACTGGGGAAGTGGAGTCCTCTCACGGAAACCAAAGACATTACAGCCAATCCAGTAGTACAAGCCAAATCGTTTTTTCTCAACCGGAAGGTCATCCCATTTGTTGGCGATACGTTGCTCCTGTGAGATCTTGTCCATCATCTTCGAAAAGAGAGTGGGGTCGTACAAACACTCGGCACAAGTAAATACCACCTCACCGGTTGAATGACACCTTTTCACAACGTCAGGATGAAACGAGGTGGTGTTGGCCTTCATTGTTTCTTCAGTCTGACCGATCAAGTTGAGATCTGGATTCTTCATAATCAGAATGGGTATGCCGTCAACAGCGGGAGGATCCTTGCACTCGAAAACAGAGATGACCATGATTCGAATGTACTTCATCGGAGTTCCAGAAGACAACTTGATCCAAGTATACCCAGGAATCTCTTCATGATAAGTTGTCTCAGGATTGTCCACACGGATTGCCGGATAATCAATCTTGTTCACCACATGGTCAGCGATGAAATCAACGGAGGCCTCGCCAAAGTGGCTGATGGTTATGGCCTCGGACGCGCAGCGGAGCTTCATTGTCGGATGCTTGATACTCGGTACTTTGTCACTTGAGGAACAAATACCCTTTGGGATACAAAGATGCGCACTGGCAATGCCAGTCTCCCGCCAAGTGAATTGAGTGGCGCCATTTTTGTCAGATTCCTTTCTTCAGAAATCAGGAGACGCATGACTGGGTCTTTTTCCAGCAGATAAACTCCTCCGGAGCAGCAAATTGTTGTTGTTGCACCGGCCATGATGCCTGCCATCTCCGGCCTCTAAGATCTTAGCCTGTTGATGTCCAATGACGATGTAAATATGGGGTCATACTAAGTCGGGTACGCTCTACAAGCCGGTGGTAAGAACAACAGCTCGTTTTCCCTGTGTGCTGAGCATGCCGTCAGCACGGTGCGGCACCCAAAAAAATTCGAACAATCAACTTTACACCGACAAATATCCAATGACAGGGCATTTCCCTTGTTGCCACCTGCACGGAACCTTCCCTTGACATCTACAGAAGCCCTCTGACCAATAGTATGGCTGTACAACATGTCTAGCACCGCTCATTGGTCAGTCCAGTTACGCCATCACCATCTTCCTTTCGAAATGATGCAACACTCAATAATATCGTGTTAAATTGGGTTATGAGCACGCAGTAGTCCTACTCGTGAATCGAAGGTCGGTATACATCCTTAAATCTTCACATCCTCTTACATCCGCTTAACGAGAACCAGGAATTTGAGTGACTCAAATTCCTCCCCCAGATCCCGTAGACTGATCGATTTTCTGGTACTCAGAAATCCTCTACGCGCCGCGCGCGTAGACCTGGTACATAATCGCTGACGTGTCTGACACCAGAAAAAAGCAACGGCAAAAAGAACAACAAAATAAAAGAAACATGCTGACAATGGCAGATAATGGCAACAGTTGCTATGTAGAATGTTAAGACTGACATAGAACACCATACAGTTGTAACTCTCACCATGCATGCGCAGCTATCACCAATTGGAAGTAGTAGCATAGATGCCATGGTCAGAGAGAAAGCTCAATTTTTCTTGCCAAATGGCACACACTAGTAAAGGTCCTAGCAATGTTGCATTTGGGCTGTGGCGACACAAAGGAAGGCTCCTTGTCATTGAGAGCCATTCGAAACAGGACTACTCAATGACAAACTTACTTGCAGAAATGGGTCTGAACACCAACAGAGGATTCACCATTGACTTCTCCTCATGATTCTCTGGCAAAACCTTGATCCTCAGCACTTCCAGCTCCCTGAGTTTGTTCTTCTTCATGGTGAAAGTCCTCAGAGCAATGAGGTCTTCAGTGCCAACACCTCTGTGGATCAACTCTTGCTTGACATCATCAGAGTGTAGGCAGCCCTGAGCTTGCCATACCTCTTGAGGCCATTGATGTTGTCAGATCGGTCCACTCCACCATTCCTCTGCCTCTGGTTTCCTTCTTGTTGATGCTCCCTTCTTGATGGCTTCTGCTTGAGGTCCTCCAGTCTCTCTCACCCTGAAATGCTCTACTTCAAGACCTTCTGGATGTCATCCAATCTGCCTTTGTATGTTTCCTTCTGAGTCTTGGCCCAAACCACATGCTTGTCATTGTGAGCTGTTGCATTGTTCATGAGTGAAGGATCCTATCAGTACTTGGTAGGTCAGCCAATGGCTTCAAGTTGTTTGCATTGTGCACATCAGCAGATCTGATGATGGCAATGGCAGAGCGGAGTTGCTCTGAGCGGTCAGTTTGCGAGACAAGCTTCGCTTCTTTGACACCTGCCTCAACGAAGTGGGTGTGGCAAGCAATGGGAAGTACAGGTGAGAAGCCACTGTTTAATGCATTGTCATTGTTCTCCTTCTTGTTTCGAAAGTCATAACCATCCAGGCCCATAGTTGCCGCGTGAGTGCACAGGGGTGGATACTCAGTGTACTGTGAGGTTGTGTGTTCGTTGGACGTTTCTTTACCAACCAATCATGGAACCGCTGCAAGTCAAAGGTGTACCCATGCACAGTAGACTTCCAGATGGCTTGCTGGTGAGTGACACGGTAAGGCTTCCCAAGAATGACATAAGCACCACCACTGCCGCTGGTTCTTCAGAGAGAAGTGCCGCTGGTAGAAGTCGCCTGTTGGCCCATCGTCGGAAGTGATTGGTCAGTGCATCCTTGCAATCTTGAAGAAGCCAGAGGCCTTGTTCCTCTGCACCACCTGTGTTTCTTCTGGAAGGAGTCCAAGGAATCGCGAAAGGCATCAAACGCAGGATCAAACGCAATGCCGTTTCGTTCCATGTGTTGCAAGTCATTGTGCATGAGATAGTACCTGCCAATGATGTTGTCGCTTGGAAGCCAGGAATGCAGACATATCAACACTGCTCTGCAACCAGTCAAAGTTTGGACTGACGAACACGGAGTGGTAGCAATGCTTCAGTGTCAAATCAGAGTACAGCTCTGCCTCCAGTAGAAGTGGCTGTAGCCGACGCAATCTTGTGCTGCTTGCTCTTGTGTCATGGACGTTGATGAATGTCTGGGTTACGCGTAGAATCAGTAGATAACACAAGTAGGTTACCCTTGCCGCTTCCCAACTGTCCACCATCTTGTAAGAACTGGGGCCGGTACAGAAAGGAGTAGTCTCTTGAGGTCCTTGTTGCCCAATCCAGAGAAACTCCCGGAAGGTCTTGACGCGTTCCCACTTCGTGCAAAGACTTGATCAGCACATGTATCGCCAACATAGGGAGTGGTACGATAGGCTTCCATAAATCTGACGCCTCTTCCACATGTGTCCGCCACACTTCCTTCTCCATGCTGTTCTTAGATCGTAAACACAGTGGATCATTTGCATAGCATTCTTCTTGTCCAATCCACCCTCGCCGAGTACTTCGACAATGGGATTACTGACGACCAACTGAAGGTGTGCAAGCAACAGTTAGCGACAAGATAGTTCGAGCGACACAGGTTCAGATCACCATAGACCGGAACAATCCATCCAGAACACCACCTCCACCATTGTAGTGCAGTGTCCTTGAACTTAAATCCATCATCGCAAGTTTCTTCAAAGAACAAGCAATGGCCTTTGCACAAGCATCTGATGTTCCTTCTGCTGCATCAATATCCAATAGTTGACGGCGAACTTCCATTGTACCAGTATCAAACCAGGACACAACCTTGACAAAGTGTCCGACACCCTTCTTGTTGCCTTTGTCACAGGCAAGAAAGACAGTCTTGCCACGAAGAACATTGCCAAGTCAAAGAAGAGTGCGACCGGCATGCTGGAACATGATGTTTCTAAACCAGGTCTCAGAAGGGAAAGACGTACTGAACTTGTTCAAGTCAACACCTTCCATGTTACCGTGTGTCCCAAAGAAAAGCCGCGACAATAAGTGGCGCAATGACTGAAATCTGGCTGAGGGAAGGGAAGGGCAACTCGCCAACATAATGGCTAGGACCGACTGCATGAAAACAGAACCACCGGTAAACTTGTAGTATCAAAGCCGTTCTGCAGGTCCTTGATCTTCTTTCATTGTTGCGAAGCCGTTCCCACTTGTTCCGGAGAACAACAATGTGTGTCTTGGGAACACCGGCAACAGTAAAGGCCTGACCCTGGCTATTGAGGGAATGGTCGTCCACTGTGATGTCAGACTTCGCTTTCTTGACCTTTCGCCCATCTTTTTCTTCGGTAACAACACTTGCCGTCATCGTGAAGCTGTCAACTCGCTGCCAGCCGTCACAATATCCGTCACCATCGGTTCAACAGGAGTGGTCTCAAGAGAACGCTTGGTGGTACATGCAACAGGAGATGGGTCTTCATTGACAAGGTAGCGGCTGACATTGACATGGTTGGTGTTGACATATTCTTGACAAGAACAGCTGCGGCGGTACCACAAACCTTCCAATGTTGGCGGACACTGGTATGCATGGCTCTTGTGGGTGGAAGCGCGCTTGTTTGGACCAAGAGGATCAGTTTCACCAGATGGGGTGGCAAGGTAGTTGTTGCACCCAGAACAGGTGTGCCTGGCGGGCAAGGGGAAGTCAGTGCAATACTGCATGAAGCGAAGGCTCTTGTAGCGACCATCATGAAATGCGGCAACAAAGGGAGGCGGCTCTTCATCATCTTGTTCGCCACTGCTGGAACTCGAGGTACTACTCATGGAGCGGTTGGATGCCATCTTGATCAAACCAAAACAAAGGAAAGAGGGTTAGATGAAATCAAAAGAAAGCAATGACAATCAACAACAGAAGGAGCGGAGAAAACACCATAGCTTCGGCTTACCTTTTTGGGTTTTCGAAAGCAGGAATAATGAGGATTGGAGTGGCATTGCTGTTGGTCGGAGGTGGTTGGATGGAGTTGTTGACAACAAGAGCAACAGTTTGGTTTCTCTTAGGACTGCATGTTAACGGTTGTTCGTATTGGTTTTACGTCTCTTTAGAAAAATCGCACACCCTCTCTACTGTATCACATGGTATAAGAATGGGATTCACGAATTGAAATTTCCAAAGACGGGCAATCTGGGATTGATTTGACCGTTGTCACATGATTTCTGGGTTCCGATTTCACGAATTTTTCGAATAATCGCCTTCCGAATGCTTCCGAATAGAGACAAATAAACCGTCAACAAATACCTTTGGCGAAAATCACAAACACTCCTCAGCGTGGAACCCTCTTGGATAATAGATCTAAACATATAAGACTAGGCTACCTTGGTACTCCTTAAACGCTCAGGTTCAGGGGTGTTCGGGTGAATTTAGCGACTGGCCTTTGGCTAACTGATTATCGAGCGTTGAAGCACGTGGAGAGCAAGCCGTGCCAGATCGATAAATGTGTGAGATCTGGGGGTCATAGAGTCAGTCGTGGCAGTTTTTAAAGCCTGAGAGAAAACCGTCGGACGGTCCAGGTCTTTCGTGCGGGGCATTCTGAAGGGCACGTGGCCTTCGCAACATCAAAGTCTCGAACCGAAGCCAATTGTGGTTCGGATCTCGGCACCAGAACTCCAGCCTGAAGGGTTGTCTCTGTCAATCCCAGTAAATTATATTTAGAATACTCACTTTTTGCTGCAATTGATGAATTGTCTATGGTACCAGTACGTCCTTCTTCAAGCCTTCGATGAAAGTCATCCAAAGCAACGATCCCAAGGCCGAAGAGGCAAAACGAAAAGAAGCCGAGAACAAGGAAGAGGAAGAGGAAAATGAACTAACCATCTGCAGCAAGGTGGTACCTGGGAAAGACTGGTCTATGGATGCGTTCGGGACCGTCACTTGATTCATGGAATGCTGTACCTTTTCCTCGTGATATTGCTGTTTTCCTGGTGGATCACATCTTTGATGTGGAAGCACAACAAGTGCGAGGACCTCAGTTAGTCCAAGCGTCACGACAATCCAGGATGCCCCGGCTTCGGTGATCCAGACAACGGGTTTGTCCGGTGGTTTTTCTTCGTCCTTGTGTACTTGGCCTTCTTGTGGAATTTTTCCCGCTCTTCCACGGGAAAGTACTTGAGAAACATCCACTCCAGTGAAGCTGAGTGACAGCAAGCTAAACGAGTTGCTTTAGTGGAGCTCTTGATGCTCATACTTTGGTGATTTCCATTGAAGATCTCTACCAGTATCTCCAAAGAATGTACGAAGCGCCCCCTGAAATTGCCATCCATATTGAGTGTTACCACTATGAGACGACTGTCCAACACTACACTGACTCAAATGGAAATTCTGGCACCCGAACCGTCACATACCCCGTTGTCGCCTACGAGGAAACAGAACCAGTCTTGATCACTTCCTGGAAGGACGAGTCTGAGCAGCTCAAGTCGAGCCAGATCGAGTTTGAAATCACCAAGGTTCGAATGAGTAAAACCTTCACTGCAGATGAGACATTTCTGGAGCAGTGCGAGAGCTTTGTCAATCGCAACCGTTGGAAGGATCAATACTACAACTTTGCAACAATCTACAGCATCGAAGGATTCAAGGAGAAGCTGCTTGCCTTTACAGACTTGAAAAGGAAGCCACAGATGTTGGACTATTGGATCTATGTGTTGGCCCACCTTTTGATATTTCCAGCCTTGCCGTACCGCATGTGGCTGAGCTCCATCACGGGCAAATTGGACCCAGTCATCCACAAAAGTGTTCAGACCTGCAACCGAGATGAAGTTGAAGGCTTGACGGAGCGGGCTCGGCTACTGAATCGGTTGTTCGCTGGGTTGATAGAGCCCAACACGGCGCCAAAAAAGTTCCAACGGGGAACCTGCCATGGCAACTGCAGCAATCGCAGGGACACACACGGTAGAGGACGGAGCAATACTGCCAATAGCAACGGCAACTCCAGCCCCCACTACCGGTAAATTCAGATGACATTGATGAAGATGGAACCTTTCATTGCTAAAGAACATACCAGACAACTTTGATGGTTTGATTCATTGCTAACTACAAGTAGGCATAAAACTACTAAGTAGTTTTAGTTTCATTCTCGACAACTCTAGCGTGACGCCGTTCCCGAAGTAAGACACGTTGCCCGTCTTGCACCGCAGCCGAAGCAAGTCACTCGTGCACGACTTGTGACATTCAACAGGTAGCCATTGCTAAATGACACCTTGCCACACTGAACAGGACAGCGAGCTAATCATTGCTATGGTATCACAGCTAGTTTTGGAGGCGCTGAAGTGATAGCTCGTTGCCACCTACTAGGAGCTCAATCAGAATCAATGGAACTCTCTCATTCTGGTTGATCGTGGCGGTGTGTGTGACATTGCTGGCAGAATTAAAAAGAATAATGTTCCGAAAAGCGTCGCAGATCACACACATGCGCATCGAGCTACCCGTACCGAAAAAAAGCTAACAGAGCTGAATGCTGCTGCATGGCCTAATTGCCGCCAAAACTAACGACATCTTCAAGTCCCGGGTTTTGCCTTTCTCGGGATTCCCTCCAATCAAGGTACGTTTCATGTTTCATGAATTCTTCCTGACACAACACACTCAGGTTTCACTTCATTATTCTAAGACAAGGCAACACATGTTGTCAACAACAACAACAACAAGAAAACGCAAGCAGAAGAAGCCCCAGAGATAGAATGGGCTTGGATGATTATGACGAAGATCTTAGTGTGGGTGGCGTTGAGTACGAGGAAGCTCTGCCTTTTGCCATCCACGATGAGAATACTGGTGGCACGAGTGAGATACCGTTTCATTCTTCTTTCGGTACCACTAGTAGTGCACGACCGGCCGTGTTTCCCGAACAATACAGATCAATGATGAAGTCAATGATGTCCGTGTCATTATCTTCTTATAATGATAACTACTACAACAGCAACCAGCAAGCACCCGGATTAGCATCTTCCATGATAAGCGACAGCAGCGCACAAGGCTCATCATCCCTGATGAGCAATCAGATGAGTCAAGTGTGGGAAGCTACATCAGCATCAGATGATCATATGCTTTCCTCCAGGGATCTTGATGCCGCTGCCTCCTTGATGGAAGGAATGGAAGGCAGTTTGGCCATCTCCCATGGATTGACGAGGGGGCCTAGAACTCCTCCTGAGAATCGCTCAACGCACGGCAACAATGGCCGTGTTCCAGCGGCCTATTCCTCCATGAGATTCTCTCAACTCATGGAGAATGCCGCTGGAGAAACCAGAATGGTATATGCTGCCGATGGGGCTCTTCCTGCCTTGCCAGAAGAAACTGTTATTGCTGGATCTTCTTACATAGAACAATCCTTCCACAGTGCCCGTGGTGGCGACTCTTCCTCGTTCCCTTCCAACATTCCGACTACAACATCGCAGAGTATGCCATCGGATTGGGTTCCTGTCAGCAGTAACCAGCCCATATACGATAGCAAGCATAGCCAGTCCATACACGGTAGCAAACAGGGCTCTTATCAACCGCCAGTCCTGGAGGAATCCCATCGTGGAGGCCAAACAATCAGCAACAGCCGCTCCAGGAGAAGACTGACTCCACCAGACAGAAACGCAGTCCAGGCCAGACGGTTGGATGCAACATCCTTTGAAGTCTCTGTGGAGATTGAGCCAGGATTGACCGTGGAAGATGTCATGGAGGTAGTCGGCAATCCTTCCTATCTCTCCTTATGGTGTGAATCGATCCGATCACTTGTCATTACCAAAAGTAGCGAGGGCGCCCGGAATGCTGCAAACCGTCGTAGCCTCCATTCTGGTAGAGCAAGGGCCGAGTACGAGGGTGAATGGATCGAGGCCACTGCCACTGACTTGATCTCGCCGCCATCAGCTTCCAGCTGCTTGTACAGTACGAGCAAGGCCATGTGGAACTATGTGGGCTTTCCAACCAACTATGGCAGTGTCTCAATGTTTGTTGAACGACGGCGTGGACGTGTGGGGTTGACGGTAGGCCCCTTTGCAGGCAATGTCACGGCAGCCCATACCATTAGTGTGGTCAAAGAAGCCAGGAGCACCCGCATTGTGGATCGCGTGACCTTGGGCCGAGGCATGGGGGACTCCGAACTCATGTGCGGAGTGCTGGAATGTTTAGAAACTTGCTTGCTGCCCACGTCAAAAGCATATATGGACCAGGTCGTTTCCAGTTTGATACGGCTTCGTGTACTCGTGGAAACAGCAGAGGGGCGTCATACCTCCTTGAACCAGTTTGATGACGATGATTTTGAGCTAATAGTGCCTGTTGGGATTGTTTAAATGTGTAAATGTAAATAAAGTAGAGTGAAGTGTAAATGTAAAGTGTAAACAGAATGGTGACTTCCCATCTCTATTGGGCATTTCTATGGGACATCGCTAAGTTGTTCCTGCTATATGGTACCGTATCCCGCATCCAATCTGCCTTCGTGGGCTGACGGCAACGAGCCGCAGCGAGGACCGACCTGACCACCTGCCTCCAAAGGCCCATGGCAATGAGGCTTGATGGCAGCGAGGACCTGAACCAACCTAAAACCGTTTTCTGGGATAAGTGGCTCTGCCGGCTTTATTTGAGACACGCCACAGCCACCAATCGATCCGAAAGAACAAAATCGATCTCATTCTTCCTTTCTCGGCGTGGGTTTGTTTGTCCACAATACCACTTGCAAGTTCTTCATTTACTTTGTGTTTGTTTGCATTCTGGTTTACGACAATCTACCATGCCTCGTAATCAAGGGACATCGAGAAAAGGCAAGCCGAAGAAGGCCGAACGGGCCGCGGGAATGGGCCGGGCACTTCAGAGATCCCAACGAGGCCATGGACACGTCAAGGCCAAGAACAAGTTGGGAGGGATGAGTGTGAGTGGAAACATGGCAGCTCCGTCGACCACCTCCTTGGACAATGTTGCAGAAACGAAGAACATGAGTCTTTTGGAGTTGGATCATTTGGACGATTTTCTTGGCCAAGCCGAAATGGCCGGCCGTGAGTTTGAAAGCGAAAAGGCCCGCTATGTGGTGCTGGATTCTCATGGATCGGCATACCAACCAGGAAAACGAAATGTCAAATTTCTAGACCAACAACGAGTGCTTGGGGAACATGAAAAGGTTGAGTTTTCCTTTGAAGACCTCTCTCTTCCTAGACGTCCTAAATGGGACGAAACAACCACCCCGCAAGAATTGGAGAAAATGGAAAATGAAGCATTCTTGGCGTGGAGACGAGCCATTGCAGCCAAAGAAGAAGAACTTTTTGCAGCAGATGCCGCCGATAAACATGCCTACTATTCTCGCACTGTCACGCCGTATGAGAAAAATCTGCATGTCTGGAGACAGCTCTGGCGAGTATTGGAACGATCCAACTGCATTTGTCAAGTTGTGGATGCAAGGAATGTTAACTTTTATTTGAGTGAAGACTTGAAACGATATGCCAAGTCTCTGGGAAAACCCATGCTTCTCATCGTCAACAAGAGCGACTACTTGAGTGCGGAGCAGAGGAGACTCTGGAGTGAATACTTGAACGAAAAGGGCTGGGAACACGTCTTCTTCTCGGCACATGCCGAGCAGGCAAAACTCGACAAGGCTGCCCATGACAGTGATGATGACGACGATGAAAACGACAAAGAACCTACAGAGGATGATAACGAAGAGACACCCGAAGAAGAGACACCGGAGGAAGACACATCAGATGAGGAGGAGAGAGCTGAAGAAGAAGCGGCAGAAGAAGAGACACCAGAGGTGGATGAAGAGGCCCCAGAGAAAGACGCGGGCAACAGTGAATTTACAAAGGAGATACACGATGAGCCTGGCTACCAATTGTTGGATCGACAAGGGCTAACCGACTATATGCTAGAATTTGCAAAGAGCCATGGCTGCGAGCCGAATCCGCGTTATGACAATCGATACCAGTTTGGTACCGTTGGATTTCCAAATGTTGGGTGTGTATCATCTGTGTTGAATGAAGTTGGAGAGGGCGTCAAATGGATTATAATATGCATCTTGAAACTCACATTGTTTTGCTGTTTTGTCTCCCAACGCCACAGAAAATCTTCCGTCATCAATGTACTGATGGGAAGTAGCAAAAATGCGCATGGTGTGACCCGTGTTGGAGTAGCGGCACAACCAGGAAAGACCAAGCACTTTCAAACACTCTTGCTGCCTGAACGCGACAATATGATGCTATGCGATTGTCCCGGGCTCGTGTTTCCCTCTTTTGTCAGCAACACGGCTGATCTGATCGCCGCTGGAGTCTACCCAATTGCTCAAATGCGAGATCATTGGCCGGTTATGGAGTTGATTTGCCAGAGAATACCTCGAGAAATCATCAATGCGAGCTATGGGATAAAGATTCCGGAACCGTCGTCGCAAGAGCTCAACGAAAGAGGACTGGGCAAGAGTCCGCCGCCAACTGCAGAGGAATTCTTGACAACATATTGTGTCGCCAGAAGCATGCTGGCAGCGTCCAGTGGAGTACCGGATCACACGCGAGCTTCCAGGATTGTTGTCAAGGATTATGTGTCTGGAAAACTCCTGTTTTGTCACCCTCCTCCCAATGTGGAAGACATAGTAGCCTTTCATTTGGAGACTGTCAACACTGCCATCTACAAAACGGAAAAATTGAGAAAGAAACTGTTGGCGAGTATCACGAACCAACAACTCACTGCAACTAACGAGACGTCTGAGGAACATCAAGCCATGGACAAGGAGGCTGAATTTGATGACAATCTGTTAGACATTCTCGGAGGCGGTGACTCTACAACAGGCAAGAACAGTGAAGGTGGTGGCAAGCGAGGAAAGGCTCACAAATCCAAGAAGAAGTGGGGCAAAAAGGGACGAAAACTACGTGATGATGACCCTTATGGGTGCCACAAGGATCCGGATGAAATGCTAGGCAAGACTGGTGGCGGTGGTGGTCTTGTAGTCAAGGCTGGAAAGTACGGGAGAAGTGGATACGTTAGACCGACATCCTATGGAGGCGCAAGAAGCGCAGGTAGTTAACTAACCCTCTGATATTTATAAAAAAGGACAACCCTCTGCTCCTATTTCGTTGCCAGTACAGGTAAACCTATTTCGTTCTGGTTTCTTTTTCTTTTAGATACGTTCACTCCATGACAAATCGCCCTTTATCATTTGGTACCACATTCTGAAGTCACATAACAATGAATAGGTGGGATATATGAATGTTGCTGGCCGATTGTCTTCAAAAAAGAAATGCCCAATCCAGGCTGGTAGATATCCCATGACTAGCAGTTGCCATGGGAACTTTTCCTGTGGTTGCAGCAGGGATCCTGAAAGTGCCGCAATGATAAAAACAGCTGCAAATTCAATCAGTCCGTTGGGCAAGGGCGACAGGTACTCACAGAGAAATAGACCACCAGCAACGCCAATGGAAAGATGTGCTACAACTTGAGTGTGGCGGAGAAGGGCCGTCAAGATTACCAGGGATGTTCCAATGACATGCAGGACACGGCAGGTAGGATCACGATGTTCCTTGAGGTAATGGTCGTAGAACGAGCTCAAATCTGTATAGGGCTTTGACTCCACGTCTCTGGGTCGATCCAGAATTGTGACACCTAGTTTTCCATGGACCGATACAGCCACGCCAAGCGCCACAGCGGCGACCGCCCAAGGCACGAAAAAAATTGATTGATTGTTTTGCTTCTTCATAGTGATGCAGGTTGTTGCGGCAGATGATCGTGAGAAAACAACTACATGTAACAACAGACTTTGAATCTTCGCTTCTAGCTAGCTAGTAGATACCGTAGAAGGGGGATGAAGAAGAACCGTCTTTGCATGGGAGCATCACCAAAGGCAATCTTCCTCAACCGTTGCATTACAGCTATGATGGCTTGTTTATGTGTTTTAAAAGATTTTGCAAGTCACGGATGTCAATTGGCTGAGTCACGTTGAATCTTTGACTCATTCGACTACATTTTTGGTTCCACCTGTCAAGCTTCCAGCTGAATGCCAATGAAATCTGCGAACCATCGATCCCCGCCCGTTGCCGACAAGGAGGAGACAACAAGACCAAAGGAGGGAGGATTTTTCACCATTATTATAGCATTCATTCAGCCCGTTATCAGCTTTCTAAAGAACCATGTTATACAGATCATGTTTGCTCCTTTCGATTGCGCTGATAGCAGCCCTCCCAAGCTCGGTTCTGGGCTCTGCAGTGGCTCCAGTACCTGCCACAACACCAGTGGCAGCAGCATCCAGGGGCAATCCAGTTGTAGCTGTGGTAGGCTATGTGAAAGATTCCGTTGTGAGGACAATTGATGGGTGTGGGATGTTATGGAAGAATCACCAACGCTGCAATCAGATTCGATCCAAACAACGAGATCACCGCGACAAACTCCAAAAGAAGTGGGAATTGGAAGGACGAATGACTCGAGAAGAAGTCAAACAGAGACTCAAGTCCATCAATGGAGGAATTTCCTATGATGAATACGCGTTTTTGACCAAGGGAAAGGACGATCGGGCCAAACTGATGCAAATTATGTTCCTCATGTGGGGAGCCCCCAGGTTTCTCCCCTACATGCTCATGTTTTCTCCCGATATGCTACCTTCCCCATTTTCACCAATGGCAGGCGATGGCAATGCCAGAGAAAGTGGACTGGAAAAGTTATCCAGAGAACGATCTCATGCTGTCCTGCAGACATTGCTCAATATGGAACGAGAAGCCAAAAAAGTACCCGCATTGTCAAAACTAAATATATTTGGGAAGAAAGCCCAGGAACAGCGAATGGATTCCATGCAAATGATGGGATTACTCACTGCCAAAATCATGTCAACACCAGGAGCCAATGGATCCAGTGGTGCACAGGTCTTTTTGAACAATCTGAGTCAATATCTATACAGAGATATTGAGTTTACTAGAGGAGAGCAACGCCTGATAGATGCTCCCAAGTCGATTATCAAGGGAGTTATCCTGGCAGTCGAAGGTCCTAGTCCTGTCAACGGTTTTCTTCCACATTTTATGGCACGGGGAAAGGTTGTAGCTCATTTGCAGAAGATCGAAGAGGGAGATTCCTTCTTGGTCCAGGAAGGAATTGATTTGGCAAGCTTGGACTCGACACATCTAGCGGAAGCTTGCGGTCAACGGTTCATTGGCGGACCCGATCGAACGGATGAGGAACTACGGGAATCCCTGGAAGAATGGTTGAAACTGGCAGTGACTCAACCATCCGAAAAGTTACAAGAGAGCGGGCAACTCTTCTACAATGCCAACCTGGCGAGACTCTCGTTGCTGTGCTATCATGCTATGGACGGAACCAGGGATAGTCGATCTGCTTCGTATTTGCCTCGCATTCTGTTTCAGGGACAGATACTGCAAACGCCTGGGCTGATAGAAGGTACTCGTGGCGGAGGCGAAACTGCCAAGTCGAAATGAACTGGTGATGGTGTAGTTTAAAAAAAAGAATGAACAAACGATTCAGCACACAGTCAACCATGACACAGCAAAGAAATAGGATTGTGCTCATAACGTAGTGTTGGCTCTTGGCTGGATAACTCTAGCTAGTTACTAGAAAGCTTTCACCCGTCCTGGCAAAAGCCGAGTATATATGTCCCTTCACGGGAAATAAAATTCATAGAGGTTGCCTTCCCCTCATCATTGGCGGTACGGTAGCTACGGGAAAGGCGCAAAAGCTAGAGTGGTCAAGGGTGAATGAAGTTTCAGTTCGGTTGTTTGGGATGTTGTGGGGTCATCAATCACGGGTGTTGCATCACGCAGCACAATAATCGTGACATCAGCGACGTGAGTGGAGGAAGCATACTGTACTGTATGGCATCCAAAGGTTGAAGTCCCAAGCTGACACATTGTCATCATGACACACGGAACCCCACAGAAACAAATCAGCCGGGTTCGGCTAGCATGCATCACTCTCGTGGGTAGATCAAAGGGTGAAGAACCCAGATACTTGGTAGCAACCAAAACCACAAGCAATAAAGTATCTCCACCATGAGGGAAAGAGCGCTCGTCTTATCCTTGACCTGCATTTTCTTGACCATCCTCGGTTCAGCCGCGGAAACGAGAGCTTTCTCGATTTCTCCAATTTCTGGTCATCATAATCAACCATCCATTGGACATCACCAACCAGAGGCCGTAAATTTGCATGTGCTAGAAGCATCAAAACAACAAGCTGCCACCAGAAATGTTGACGAAGAAGAGGAGGAGAAAACGCCACTTGAAGTGCGACTAGAAGATGAACGTGTGGCGAAGCTCCGCAAAGCCAAGCAAGCCATTCCAGCAATTGCAGCAGTGACACTGGCATCGGTGTCTTTGGCGGCTAAATTGGGTATCCTTCATGGGCCACTTCTGGCTGGTGGTGGATTTGGTCCCTACACAGATGCCATGATTGCGAGAGATGCTGGATCAGCAGTGTTGTGTGGAATATTGGGGTATCTTTTTGTCAAAGTGAACGAATGGTTTGCCGAAAAGGGATACCTGGACCCAAGAGATTCCAGAAAAATCATCCACACATTTAGCGCCCCATTATTCATGGTGCTATGGCCATTATTTTCACCAGCAGTTGGGGCTCGGTTCTTTGCCGCCAGTATCAGCTTTATCAATGTGTTGAAGCTCTACATTGCTGGATCTGGTGGGGACGATTCTCTGGCATTTGCAGTATCAAGGTGTGTACTGAACATGATGATGAAGTTTGGATACCGACTTCTCTATGAACAAACTCAATTTGCTTTCCCTTTGTTTGTTTGGTTTGTATGCGTTGGTTGCATGGGTACAGATCAGGAATGAAAGATGAGGCTCTAGGTGGACCATTCTTATATGTTGTCATCCTCACGTTTAGTATTGCCTTGTTCTGGAAAGATGGTCCCGTTGGGATTGTGGCTCTCAGTGCCATGGCGGCCGGTGATGGCCTCGCAGATCTACTCGGTAGACGGTATGGACGAAAGAACAAATGGTTCTTCAACAAGGACAAGAGTATTGCTGGATCTACCGCCTTTTGGATCGGAGGCACAGCCTGTGCCTTGACATTGCTCAAGATCATGTCAATACCATTGAATCCAGTAATACCACTGGAACCAGAACTTGTGGTGGCTGGAATCGTCCTCATTACAGCTCTTCTGGAGGTCGTTCCTGTAGAAGGACTGGATGACAATTGGATTGTTCCACTGAGTGCTGCTGTGTTGACAGCACTGGCATTTTCATAGACGAACTGAATACAGCGTGCTTGTCTATGCAAAGCATCCGAACTGTACATCCACTACTAGCTAGCTGCTTGATCAAAATCCCACACAAACAGCACCACACCAGGTATCGGTAGAGGCGAACATTCTCACCGGGCTGGTACCGGTACCGTAGGCACAACGATATCACAAAGTGCTGCTACCAGCAAGGGCCACGGAGGGCTACCGAAATTCAGAGGATGGGTTATGCTATGCTATATGTACTCTGCGTACTTTCGACCAACAAAAGAGACCGTAGCAATCCGTAATCTATAAATCTTTTTTTATTATGGATATGAAGGATTTTCTTTTCAACGCAACGGATCCAGTCAGACCAAACGCCTCCATCGGATAGATGGTTGAGCGTATCGTCGTCATTCGCAGCCTCAAGAAGCATGCATGGTTCCGTGGTGAATAGTTATCGGGGTGTTGCGTTTGTTTCTCTCTCAGAGTTTGAGAAACAATTCTAGCAGCAACACCCAGGAATTAACCTCAGGTGTTTAGAGGAGGCAAGTCAGACAAGCTTTTGGCTTGACCTGGCTTGAATTTTCTCTTGGGCTTGGAACCTCCACCAGCGGCCCTTTTGGCCTTTTCTTCGAGTGCTGACCGAAGGTCCTGTGATGTGTCCTGGGATTGTTCGATGATCATAGGTATGCGCAGTGAGTCAATCAATATTCAACAACCTAATCATAAAACTAACGTCAGCCTGTCTCTACATACCTTTTTGATGTAATTCAGATTGAATAGGGACCCCCAATATGCCTTTGTCATGGCAAAGAGTGTCATGGGATTGAGGCTTGCCTTGATGATGTAGGGAATTTTCAGTATTGATAGGAGACCCGACTTTTTCTTCTTGGGCACCGTTGGCGTGTCTGCAAGACCGGTTTTAATGGCAGCCTTGACGCTAGCAGTCTTTTTCGCCTTGGACTTGCTGGCAGCCTTGACGGCAGAAGCGGCCAAAGTTGCCTTGGCCTTTTTCTTGGGAATTTCTTCCTCCTCTTCTTCCTCTTCGTCCAGATCTACTTTTTCCTCTTCCTCTTCTTCATCCTCGGACTCTTCTTCCTCATCATCGCTGTCTACAAGTGTTGACGCGGCACCTCCTCGCACAGAGACGGATTGCTGTATCAGCAGGTGGCGTTGCAGTAGTTGATTAGCTTGTGGATTGTTGTTGCCCGTCAACTTGAACGACGAAACTCCAAAGGGTCGGGCCGAAACCACCAACAAGAGGATCGACCCGAGGAATAGCCACAACAGACCACTACCTGCAGCGGCGCTGAAGGACCTCATCTTGGAAGCGGTGTTTGGAGCGCTTTTGTGAGCTCTTGTTCTGAATTATTGTTCTTCTTGCTTGATGCATGGTGTTGGGGTGTTGGGTTTGTTGTCGTAGTTGACGCGTGGAGGCACTGACGTTTCCCCTTAACCCTTTCCGGAAAACTTTGGCGGGTCGCTGTTAGAAAGGTATTTTCGTATGACGGACAGACGACTCGGGATCCACAATCACGGTTCGTGATTGGGGATGTGTGACTCAAATCAGATGGTTATCCGATCATCATCAGATGGCCAGGAGTACGAGGAACGAGGACATGGTCGTCTAGATGATGAACTACAAAGGTTAGGAAGTTAGGTCGAAGAGATGAATGCAAGGAGCGACGGGATGGAACAAATGAATGGACGGATGAAGGTCCATAGGTTTGTAAAGTGGGAAAGCCCTCCAGGGCCAACCATCACTTCTAGGAAGATAGATCGACGAGATTATCTGCAGATGAAACTGCGAGAAACAGAGGATCGAAAGATCCTGGATATGTATGCATATCGGAGCTCAGTTGTAGAGCTCACAATCTGAACGAGAGAGAAAGAGAAAACGAAACGAATAGCCAGTCTCTAGACAGTAGAGCTGGAAGTATATTATTAAATTAGAGAAATTGGCGTTCAAGTTCACACCTTTTCAACACGTTTTAAAACGATAGCTATCAGGAAAGAGTGAGCTTGGATCCAGGTTGAAACAGAAAGGAGAAGAATTGAGAAGTAAGTAAAGATGTCTACGGAGGTAAGAGGTATCATCGTCGAGCAATATCCCATCTTCGATGGGAAAGATGAGAAGTTCAGGTTCTACCAGGTCAAGATGATGGCCCATTTATCAAAGTATGGGTAGTAGAACTAATGAAGGACTCTACGGAGATCAAACCGGACAACTGGGAAAACCCTACAGTTACGGGCAAGTTGTCGGACAGACGAAGTAGAAAAGATCGAAGTCTGGAAGAGAACAGCAAGGCTGCTGGAATACTGCTGGATTCGTCAATGTGGAGACCATCGAAGGGCAAGTCGCCTTCGACCTACGGCCTCACACCAAACGACTGACTCTCCTCTCCTCCTTTTC